TATACATTATTGTTTATATATATATTTATTTTGTGTGTTTTTTATATATTCTATATATACACCTTATTAGATAAATAAAGTTTACTTTCAATTTAAAATAAAATTATTAAATTAAAATGACGTTAATATTTTCAATTAGCCAAATTTTTTTATGTACCTACATCTGTTTGTACTTAATTTTTTTACTTCCTATAGTAATATACCACACAGAAGGTGGGAGTCAAATTTAAACATCAGAGCACTGATTTTAAATGTACCTAAAGTAATTTAAACGGAAAAGTTCGACATGGGCAATGTCACATGTTTGATGTGATTGTTTTTTTTTTGTATACGTTTATTTTATATTTATGTTTTTTTATGTACTCATAATTTATTAAGTAATTTGATTTAACGCTGAAACAAAATTAAAATTTTAATGTTAAATTACTCTCATTGTTTTTTTTTATAAAAGATTTAATGTCTCGAATGTTAAATATTTAAAGTGCTAACTATTGTACATAATAAAGTGTAGAAATTTAAATTTAGTTGTATAAACGAAAAAAATTTGAAGAAAAGCGTACATTGATGATCTGACATTAATTTTTGTAATTTAATAGAACGAATAAAATGTATTGTTGCATGCTAATACCGTTCCTAAGAGTAACTTTACATATAATAGATCTTGAAGAATTTTGAAACGGACAGAATAAATATGTATAAATTATACTTACCACCCATTGTGGCATGTTGCGGGCTAATCGTAGTTTCGTGGAAGGATTCGAAATGGTCATTGGCCGCCATTTGTTATTACCGTTCTGAAATAATCAAGAAATATTTATTATTAATTATTTTCCACTTTTTCTTGTATTTTACATTTTTATTGCAATAAATATTTTCTTAGTATAATTATTTATTCTGAGTTTCGGATTTATATATTAGTTTTCAGTGAACTCAGCATTCTTTACTCTAGCAAATGAAGATAAATCACTACTGTGTTGCCAGTCCCATCTCACCTTCCTGTTTTTCTGTTATCTTTTAAATTTATGATGTTCATGATCAATTTGGTCTATACTTTTGCAATCAACGTCTCAGCGTCGAAAATCATTTTTATGATAACTAGTTCTTCCTCCTGCCCCCGGCCATTTTTATTGCTCTACTATGACGTAGTGTCGGCCATCATTCTTTTCTAATTGTTGCAGTTGTCGGCCATCATTCTTTTTCAATTGTTGTCGCATTGTCACTGATGTCGGCCATTATGGTTTTTTAATAGATGTATAATAATCAATGATTAAAGTTTAAAGGGATTGTTTGTAAACAAATATGCAATATATCGTACCCTTCAGCATAAAAAATTGCTGATACTAACTA